TCTTCTTCTTCTTCTTCTTCTTCTTCTTCTTCTTCTTCTTCTTCTTCTTCTTCGGGTGTCGGGTCTCGAGCAGACATTGACCATCTTGATGTCCCATTCCTTCCTGCCTGTCGTCTTGATCAGATGGAATTTCTCTTTGTGTTATTCATTGCAAAGCCGTTCTGGACATCTCTGCTCTTCTTTCCCTCTATCTTTCCACACAGCAACAGTTTCTCTAGTTTATTTGACCTATCTATGTGACCAAAGAATCTCAATTGTCTTTTCCTGATGGTTCTAATTATTGATCTTTCACAACCTGTCATTTTGGAACACTTCTCGATTTGTTTTCCTGTCTGTCCATGAGATTCTGAGAATTCTGTCTAAATACCACATTTCGGAGGCCTTCATTCTTCTCATCGTGTCCTTATTTAGAGTCGAGCTCTCGCATCCACACCAAAAGAGTGCCCGCACGTACGCTTTCAGGTTCTTTTCTTGTGTTCACTGTTTTTCATCTGTCTCACCTTTTGAATTTGGCATAATTGTGCAACCAAGGTATTTACATCTGTCCTTCCGTTTTATTCTTCCGTTCTCAAATGTGATGTTGCATCCTGGGAAATACATGTAGTTAATAATATTGTCTGTATACCTGTCTGCTAGCCGGTGTGCTTGTTAAACCTTCATTTGTCCGTCCTCTTTTCTATCTTCTCTTTGGCTAGTTTTACCCTTGTTTGTCTCTTAACTAGTCTTTGTGATCAAGCTGCCGTTGTATCCGCCAATCTTCCTTTCTGAGGCTCTGCCTTTAGGTCTGTACTTCATCATGTTTGCTCACTGACTAAGTACATCCAGTATATGATTGTGTCTTCGAAGTTCGATCAGTTTGACAGCATCTCTGTTTGAAAGTCCGTGTATCAACTATCAGTTTGTATGTCTATCACTGCCAGATGGTATGTCTATCCTGCTCGCCAGCCACTCAGCAAGAAAAAATGAATGATATTTCTTGTTTGGCTTCCATATCTATCGTTTATACTTTCCACTCTCAACTCACGAATAGCTTTGTGTAACAACGGCAACCAAATCCTGCAATTCTCCTGTTTCCTAGCTATTCTATGAGCTTATCGTGAAAGGGATTAATTCTATACTGAGCTCTTTTCAATATCATGTAAAAACTGACTCCTGCTCTTTCGCTTAAAGTATAAGGAAAGAATCATTGAATGGAATCATGATTTGAATGAGATAAGGTGTTTCAGTTTGAAGGATTTGTGAGACAGGAGAAAGACTCCGTCCCCCACCCCAAGTCCCAAATGATCTAATTTGTGTCGACGAAGGCGTTAAACATTTACAATTTTTGGCGGATGGAGGGAATGAAATGCGATTAGACTGAGGGTTATCTTGCCTGGATAGGACGGCTTGAAAGCGGAGAATAAAACCAGAAAATAACGTCCAAAGAGGAAGCTTTACGCTAATTTTCTGAGTGGGTGCGAGCTGTAGAAAAGACAGGAAGTGAGAGATAATTCTGGAAATAGTTCAGGTCGAGACAGCCTAAGGCTTAAGCAACATGTTGGGCGTTTAAACTTGTCTTTCTGTGCTAAAATATAAAGCCTTAAAATACAGATGAGGCTGTCGTGACCGTAGAATACTAGATCTAGGTTCTTGTACTCCGCACCTGTATCGCATGATGCATTGCCGGAAGATGAAAAAAAATAGAGAAATTCGACCAAACTAGAATTATGAACAACTAGGATATAGAACTTCCAACTCCCGCCTGTCAGTTAAGTTTGGATACGTGAAAGAGCTGCAGCCGTCCGTCAACTAAAGAGTCGTTATATTTGTTGTGAGTAAGAGTTTTACGGCACTTGCAACACAATCTGGTCATATAAGTTCCGAAGATTGGAGGTGTTACAAGAGGGTAGCAAACACACAAAAAGGAGGAGAGGCAAGGACGATAGTTAGCTATATCTATCTTGCACAGAAGCTATAAAGATTTCTTTGAAACAGAGAGTTTACTTTTTCTTTTTTATATAATGTATAAAAAATGTCAAAAAGTTCCAATGTGTACGAAAAAACTTTTCTCATAAAGCCTTCGGAAAACGTGGAGTGAAAGCTTTCTTAATGATGCCAAACAAAACTTTGACGAAATATACGTATAAAAAATTGTAATTCAAATCGTCAATAGTCGTGGCAGATAGAGAACATAAGATCTAGCTGTCTTTGATGGTTTTCGAGCTTTTTTTCGTGCGATGTGTTGAGGAAAATTAAGCTGCCTGTAGAGGTGAAATAGGCTAATAGAAACTACACTGCCAAAATAACGAAGGTTGCCAAAGTACAATCACCCAAAAAAATGTAAGTGAATAAATGCGCAAAGAAATGTAAGAATGAAGATAATAAAAGAAAACACAAATACACCAAAATATGAATTCATATTTTTTTCACCACTGATGGTTAAAAGTGAATTTTCTTTTAAACAATTTTTGATAAGAATGTAGGGCATCAAAGAAAACATAAATATACAAAAGAAAATGTTTAATGTTTGAACAACTGATGGCTAAAAATGATTCCGTTTGCCTGTAATTTTTTGACAAGAATGTGGATCATAAAGGAAAGCATAACTATGCTAAAGAAAATGCATAATCTTGGCCCAACCAAAGGATAAACATCATTTTTCTTTTTCTTTTTTTTTTCTTATTATTTTTGCAAGTAAATTTCGGCCTCAACTTTACTGTAAAAATGCAAGGAACGTTGACCAGACAGTGTATTCACAGACTGTCACGTTAACAAACTTGGACCTGTTAGTTTATTCACAGACTGTCACGTCAACAAACTTGGACCAGATAGGGCATCAGCCCTTTGTGATAAAAGAGTTATGAGTAGGACCAGCGCTCACGATTGTGGGGTATTGTGAGTAAAATTCCGAGCCATTGCCCACTGTAGAGTTTCATTGATTTCATTCTTTAGCTGACGATACGGGTTGTAAGCTCGGATACCAAAGACTATGGTTTGCCCTTCATACTTGATTTTTTTTCACATCGATTTGGGATATCAGCTTACGCTCCTTTTTTTGTGTGTTTGTTTCACGTGCTTTCACCGCTGTGTGGTTGGCTACCAATATCTGATGTAGTAATTTACAGTAGAACCAGCTCTTACGACCACCTGTACATGACAATCACTTGCACAAACGATCACTTCTCGCCCCTCCCC